AATTAGGACAGAGGCAAGCTGTAACTGTTTCGGTGCCTTTTTCTCTCTTTTTGTTGACGGCGCCGCGCATGCAAAAGTTTTTCTCCTCTTTGTCCCCCGCATCGCTCCCTCCCTTTTCTCCCTTCCCTTTCTCCCTCCTCTTTCTCTCTCCTCGTAACTGTTTTTTTTTTTTTTTCTCTCTCGCTTTGTTTTTTGCACGCCCATTTCCCTTTCTTGATCATCTGAATCTTAGACCCGTCTTGCGCTACTTCTCGCGCCTTTTCTCTTCTCACCCTCTGAGTCCAGCACACGACGCCGATCGATCCTTCGATAACTCCCGCTCACTAATCAGGTGCATGGATCAATAGGATCTTCCTATTGCACGACGAATCTGATTGGTTGAACCTTGAGTTTCGAAGGATCAACATGGCTTCCACGAGGCGTTCTTCTCAAAGTCTTCTCCTCCTGCTTCTTTCCCTACACTTCAACTTTCCCCCTGCCTTCTATTTCCCTCGCCCCCCTTCTCGCCACTATAAATTCCGCAAACGCGCCCGCAAAACTCTCTTACGTTCTCGACTTATGAGCCAACTTCCGGGAAGCAGTGGCTAGGCAGAGTGCTTGATGGGAGTCGGAAAGTCCTGTCGGGCTGACGATAGGCTGATCGGCTGCGCGCTTGATCGCCACGACGGACTGTGGGATCCGGGCGAGTCGTGCCGAGTTTACGTCAGCGGGGTGACGATCGCAATGGTGGGAGTTAGCACGTGACGACAGGGACCGTCGGTGCAGGTATGGGGATTGATGATCGGAGTTGGGTGAGTGATTGGCCTGGGGCCATATCCGAATTAACGGCGAATGCGCCTTTGTGGTTGTGAATCTTTATCTCTGACGTGAGTGTACGGCGGCAACACCGAACTTCCTCTCTCCGGATCTCGTCATTTTCTCTCTCGACATTCTTCCCTCATCTCCCCCTCCTTTCTCCTCTATCTTTGAGTGATGATGCGTATTGACGTCTCTCTTCTCTCTCTCTCTCTCTCTCTCTCTCTCTCTCTCTCTCTCTCTCTCTCTCTCTCTCTCTCTTTTGGATGGGAATGAGTCGGTACGATGTTTTTGTTTGAATGAACTTCTTCCGGAACTCTTCCATTAGTTTCCTTTGCAGTCCCCCTTTGCAAGAACCCCGTCTTCTTGTCTTGTGAACGGTGGATGCGTGTGCATTGTTCCGATCCATCCTTTGTGTCTCTGCGCATATCTCATTTTTGCACCTTCCACAGTGAATGAATGTATGGAGATCCGTGTTTCTTTGCGTTGATTAGATGATTGTTGTTTGGATTTTGTCCGAGAACGCAAGAGTGCTTAGATTTGTAGCTCTGAATGTACTGCGCATGCCATCTGCCTTATGCTGCACGACAACAGCACCCGAGCCACAGGGCGGCCCCGATAAGAATAAGGCGCCTTGGATCAACGTCGCGTTGGCTCACTAAAACCTGAATCGCGGRTCGGTCTTTTAGTTGCATGCATGATCAAGTTGATGAGAGTGTTTTCTCTCTCTCCCTCTCTCGTATCGAAAGAGATTGATTGGGGATTGCGTGAGTGCTTTCTTTTCTGGATGACRCCTTGAGGTTTTTGCAATTGATTGATATGTGGACTGACAAGTACCCTCCGATCGGGCACCAGCCTCCCGCACCTCCCGTCTCAACACGGCCTTTTCCCTACAACGAGGAGAGGACACGTGTATGCGAGTGGGACCTACGAGAAGCCGTTGCACAAATCGGCGGACGGTACTACTTCCCTCCGACAAATCGTTGTTCAGGGTTCGTAGAGGCTGGGTTTGTCATTATCGATACGCACTTCCCACCTTACTCGATATTGTTGTCATTCAACGAGTTAATTGTCATCCCGTGGACGGCAGTAGAACCCCACTGGCCGTGCACTCTATGCACCGAATGTCAACATTTTGAGCGCTACGAATCCAGGGGTTCCACTACCGTGTGCGGAGTGAAGACAAGCATAAAGAAAGAGCCACGCGACTGACACCATCCACGTCCGACTTAGAACTGACCAGCGAACGACGACGAAACTTGATACAAAAACGGGACATGCGAAGCGTGCCGAAGCCCTTCCGCTCTAAACGAAGGGCCGTAGCGCGGTGGGAAACTCGACAATACTTTTTGGATTGAATTTGGATTTTTGTCTTTTCGCATCATGCCCGCACGCGCGTTGTGCGACTTACTTCATCAGACCAACACGGGGGATTTCAGTTCCGTCTGTGTCCCCACACTCAATTTCCAAAAATCCTTGGCACACCCCATCTTACTGTTTTTTTCTGGGCCTCCTTCCACACTTTTAGCACTCCGAATGAAAGACAGCACAGGGCGTGAGGTTGCGCGTCACATTTTATGGAACTGCAGAGTATCAAAAATTTCTGACACTTGTCGAAAAAAAATGCAATTCGATAGTGGTGTGACAAAAAAAAAAAAGACTCAAAACATTTCTAGTCTGATGAATTTGGTCACTGGCCACAACTTTAGGAAGTACTGGTAGTTGGTCGTTCTGGTTGCCGTGGTGGAAAGCGGCTATTTCTGGTGCCAGATTCAGTCAGGAAAGTGTACGACCTACAGAACAGATCCTGTTCAAGTACAGTCAGTCGTCTGGTACCAGATTCACGAACAAGTAGGGGTACCTGGGCCTGCTACCTGTTCAAGGTACCGCCCTCGGCCTCTTTATCCGGGGCAAGGTCCCACTTGCGCCTATTAGGAGATTTCGGCCGTTGATCTTTGCTATCTACGGTCAGTATCTCTTAATTCGTGCAAGTGGGACCTAGGCCCCGGTTGGCCCCATTGGACCCACACATGGGCTGGTATTACCCACATTACCCACATGTAGTACCAACGGGCAAAACCCTGGGCGCCCAAAACCAAGCCCTGGGCCACACCCAGCGTTTCAAATAGGCAACTTCACCAGTTCTGAAAAAACAAACAGGGGGCAAAAAAAGCCCCCACTAAATCTGCATTTGCCCCACGTTAAAAAAAACCGCTGCAGTTTCAACCCCCCCCTAAACTTGCTCATTTTGAAACTCGAACAATGACATCGGCGCCACTCCGTCTTTTCGTGCCTATTTCAAACTAAACCGGTGACCCAGGAGCAGTTCCCCTATTATTTTTTTCAAAACGGTGACGGTCTTGAGATATGATCATCAAACTTTTCGTGGTTCGTTTATTTTTTTCAACGTCCTTGTCCTCATCGCGGGGAACAGCCATATACATTTTCTCTCACCGAACACATTTTCACTGGCGTTCTGCCATGTCATCATGGAACATATCTTTCATGCACCACCTTCCTACCACTACTCCTAAGGACCTAAGGCCCTGTATACAGGGGACCCCTGCAGCCCTATGTAATTCAAGACTGGTATTTTCTCTCTTTTTTTTTTCTTTTTTTTTTTTTTGTTGGGTCCGATGGACCACGGATCAGATATTTAACTGATCAGAACAGATACTACACTTGATCTCTTTCGACTTCAATGGAGTTTGAACTCAAGGTCTGTATTTCAACAGTTCAGGGATATCAGGTTTGGGCGTGGGTGATTTCCACCAATTATCCCCCTATCATGTTCACCTGAATGGACTGCACGTATCGAGAGTGAAATATGGCCCCAATACAGCCAAAATAACCGTGCAATCTGTGAGGGTGAGGACGCTGCCGCCTGCAAGAACTCAGTAGTACCTTGGGATGGCTAACATTACAGACCCCAACCATTGGACCGTAAGCAACATCCTCAGCATCCTGCACTCATCACTCGGACCAGATTCAATGCTCCCTATCCAGTTAAGCGAAAGACTGTGCTCGAAGACTGGGCTATCTAAAGTGCTGTCCTCTTCTCGGCATTCCCCGTAGAGCGTCGCTCCACTACTTGAAATTGTTCAAAATGAGAACGAATCTTCAGCTCGAACATGGGCAGATACACCGCCATGTTTTTCTTTTGGGACATGTCGTAAAACCTCCCCTCGACGAAACCTTTGTACCCATTTCCCCGTGTCCCCCCACACGGGGAAAAGGTGCCGCAGGCCCCCACATCACTTTCGGCGTCATTTTTTGCACCTTGCAAAACAATTTCCCGCCATTGTCTTACAGTGGCCGTTGCCGGTGGCAAGGTCCCACTTGCACGGATTAAGAGATTGTGGCCCTTGATCTTTGCTATCTACGGTCAATATCGATTAATTCGTGTAAGTGGGACCTAGCCCCGGGCCAGTCAAGGTGCAAAAATGACACCAAAAGTGATTTTGGGACCTGCGGCACTTTTTTCCCCGTTTGGAGGGAAATGGAGACGGGTGTCGTCGCGGGGGGGAGGTTTTACGACTTTTCCGTTTCTTTTCTGTATTATGTGGTGAGTCGTGGAGCGAGGCCCATACTCACGTGCCCCATTTCTTACTTTTATTTTTTTGGGAAACGAGGCCGACCGTTCCTCCAGGCCGTTATTACTATGATTTTCCTTTCCTGTTTTTAATTTCCCCCATACACTGCGGAAATGAAGACGTAAGAGTTTGGAGAAAAAAAAAAAAAACAATGTACACGAGTTCCAAACCATATGGAGCCAGATGAATAAAATTTCTGACTTACCTAGAGCAGCTGGTCAATTTCTCGATGAAATTCGTGAAACTACGATTTTCAAGATTCCGGACTGTGGAAAACAACAAGGAAAACGTCGACCATGCTCATACATCACCTGACATAGTCGACGGACCCTAACTGATGTCTACAAAGAAAACAAAAGAACACACACGAAAAAAAAACGTTCCGGCTTCCCACCTGCAAAAAACACAAGAACAAACAAAAAAATGGGGAAAACTTGGGCGCTGTCACGGTTTCAGTTTGAAACTGCCTTTCAATCACGATTCCGCAAACGTTGTGTCAAACCGACGACAATCGTGCATGTTTATAAAACATACCCAACTAGCTTTAGGGTCAGGTGGTGATGTGTTGTTGTATTCGAGGTAAAAGCCGGAACTGGATTTAAAACTGAAATCGTGACTACGCCCTATTTACTCCAAATAGATAGCGTTTGGGCTTGCCACCAAAAAAATAGCGTTCGGGCTTCCCACCCAAGAAGATAGCAGGTGTTCCAACTGAGCGATCCACCACCTACTTAATATCAACCTCCCCGTACGTTTGTAGAGAACCCATCGCGCACATTTGAAATCGAGGAACACTTGCCTATTCCACCATTCATGAGCCTTTCGCACACATTTGAAATCGCGGAACACTTGTCTATTCCACCATTCATTGCTCTGTTCATGCAGGAAACTACCTGCGCTCCAAGAAAATGCCTGAACTCCCAGAATTGCCATCGAAACCAACGGACTGAGCTCAGCTGGAACACCCGCAAACAGTTGAAATGCAGACCTGACCTCGGACCCAGATGATGGGACCTAATGGACTTGAATTCCTGAATTACCTGGGGTCCATCAGTTCCACCCTGGGGTCCATCAGTTCCACGATGAGATCCCCAGTGAAGAACAGAAAGAAAAAAAAGAGAATTGACAGTGAAACTACTCACTAGGAAAAGAACGATAATGCACAACCGCAAACTGTTGAAATGCAGAGCTGACTGAGTTCGGACCCAGATGATGGGACCTCATGAAGGAATTCTTACGACCTCATGAACTTAGAATTCTGAATTACCTGGGGCCCGTCAGTTCCACGATGATATCTAAAGAAAAGAAAAGAAAGAAAAAAGAGAATTGCCAGAGAAACTACTCCCTAGGAAAAGGAGGATGGTGCAGCTATATGCTATATGAGTCTCCGCCCTGTTGCTTGATTCTGAAAGCAGCGCTTCGACCACGCCTCAATTCTACCGACGCTCCAAAGTGTCAAAATCTTCCTGCAGTACCGAATCTCTTCTTCTTCTACTTTGAGCTCGAGAGGTGCGTGCACGGACACACATTCAAATTCGCGAGACCACAATCTCGAAGGAGCAATCAATCGCATGATCTAAAAAATCGCCTCAAATCGCTACCGCTCTTTCGTCATCCGAGTGGAACGCCCGGTGATTATGGTTGTATACGGGGGTCAAGTTCCCACTTGCACGGATGAAGAGATTGTGGCCGTTGATCTTTGCTATCTACGGTCAATATCGCGTAATTCGTGTAAGTGGGACCTAGCCCAGGGGCAACTTGCAGTGTAAACGCACCAATGATGACCTGACGTTCTATTCGCGCGAAAACGGTAGGTCGGGCCGGCGCCACCAGCCCTACCGTCATTCACGAGAGCGATCGCATTTGAATTACCCCTCCCTTCGAGAGAGATGCACTCTAGCTTATTATACTTAGCTGACAGAGATTGAAAAACATCAGTGGAAAAAAAAAAAAAAAAAAAAAACTACAACAGCGGACTACAAGCCGTGGTCGAGAATCGGAAAGCACCAACTCTGCTAATTATAAGAACCTCGCGTGCGCGCAATACGAATGTATGCTATGCAACACACCATGAATCATCACAGCGAAAAAAAATCGACTAACAAGGACAGCGAAAAAATACGACTAACTGGCATTCTTCTGCCTGATCCCCTCCTCTGCTGCTCACACCTCCTTGGTCTTATTAATAAGCTAATAATAGGCTTCACGAGACTTGCTACAGATCAACGGCGAGTGCGCGGGCGCCCACATCGTGCGATCCACATAGTCGACGATATCATCTTGGGGACATGACCCTCAGGACCCTAGCATCAGCGCTCCACGTACCTTCGGCCAGATCCTCGTCAACGACGGCTTTAACCACGGCTGCACCAACTTCCCTACCGACACTTCGAATCTGAGTTAATGAGCTTCGCGAGACTTGCTGTAGATCAACGGCGAGTACGCCGGCGACCACATCATGCGGTCCACATAGTCGACGATATCATCTTGCGACATGGCCCTCAGGTCCCGAGCATCAGCGTTCCATGTACCCTCGGCCAAATCCTCGTCAACAGCGGCTTTCACCACAGCCGCACCGACTTCCTTAGCGACATCTCGAATCTGAGTTACGGGTGGGAAAATGATTCCCTTGGCAACATCTTCGGCGGACATCATCGACGCCAATCTCTCAGCTGCCGCATGAAGCATTCCGTCCGTCACAAGACGCGATCCCGCCAGGCAAGTCCCCAAACCAATTCCAGGGAAGAGGTACATGTTGTTCCCCTGGTTGGCCTTCCCCGTGGACCCGTCGCCGAGAGCCACGTCTGGGAACGGGCTGCCGCTGGCAAAGACGCAGTTGGCGCCAAGAACGTTGAAACAGTCCGTTGAGCTGCATTCCGCATTACTCGTCGGGTTGGACATCGCGAACACAGCCGGCCGGTGGTTCCTCTCGTGCTTCATCGCCTCCAATACCTGTTTATTGAAGATGCCTCCGACGCCAGAGAGGCCAAGAAGAACGTCCGGCTTGACCTTCTTCACGACATCGAGAAGCGGCGCGCCTTCAGGAAGAGCAAGGTTGCCGGTCAGAGACCTTGCGTAATCCTTGACATCGGGGTCCATGTCTTTCCTGGATTCCGTGACGAGCCCCCGGCTGTCCATGATCCAGAAGTTCTCCGCCGCCTTCTTCAGCGTCTGAGGAGACACCCCTTCTGTCATCGCCATGGACTCGCGCACCATGTTCACAACACCCAGTCCGGCGCTTCCTGCACCAACCACGACGATCCTCATCTTGGAGATGTCGGACATCGGCCTTCCCATCGCTCGTACGGCGCCAAGAATGCCGGCCAAAGCCACGCCAGCGGTCCCTTGCACGTCATCGTTGAACATCCTGCACTTGTTCCTGTAGCGCTTCAACAAGCTGAACGCCCACTTGTTCTGAAAATCCTCATGCTGCACGATCACCTTCGGCCATCGGATGTACACAGCCTCCATGAACTCGTCGATCACAGACAGGTACTCGTCGCCCTCCAATCGCGGCTGCCGCAATCCCTTGTACAGCGGGTTCTCAAGAAGCGCGGCGTTGTTCGTTCCCACGTCGATGCACACAGGCAGAACCCTCGACGGATTGATTCCTCCCGCCGCCACGTACAGATCGAGCTTCCCGATCGGGATGCCGATCCCTTGAACCCCGAGATCGCCGAGTCCAAGAATTCGGCTCCCGTCCGTGACAACGATCACGTCCACCTTGTCCGACGGCCAATTATAGACCATGGATGCCATCAGGCCTTTGTCCTTGGCACTGAAGTACATTCCGCGACTGCGTCGGAACAGCCCCGAGTAGTTCTGGCACACAAGTCCCACGGTGGGCGTGTAGACTATAGGTGCAAACTCCTTGATATTGTCGATCAGCACCTTGTAGTACAGAGTCTCGTTCCGGTCGTGCAGTCGATTGAGAAGCCGCCACTGCGCAAGAGCGCGCTCATCGCTCTCCCCCTCCCTCGTTTTCCTCTCCAGTGACCTAAAACTCAAGCCGAAGCGCGCCACCTGCTGCTCCAAACTGATCACGCTAGGTGGAAGAAGGCCCCTCAGTCCCAGACTATCTCTTTCCACACTCGGATGCGCGGTTCCCTTATTTAACCACGGATCGTGAAGAATGTCGGAGCCGCGCTTCTGCACAAGAATCGGTGGATTGCCTAACGAGCAGTACCTTCGCGTCTGCATATCTGCGGAAAGGAGCGCACGCGCCCAAGTTCCAATGCGACCGCCGCCTCCGCGTCGTACAGCTATACGTACAAGACCTCCCATTGTAGACGCCATGCTGACGCACCTCCGCACCTCAACCGCCGCCTCCTTGAAGTCCCTGCCTCCTCCTCCTCCTCCTCCACCACAACCGCAACAGGATGAGAAGCGAAGGAGATACTTGCCGATATACCAATCAAATCTGCATCGGCATTGATTGGTCTGTGATTTTGCAATGTCACCTCACCCTCCGGTGAAGCACTTTTATTAAAACAAGCGCGCGCCCCTCATCGCTATTGAGCATGAGCGACCATATAAAGAAGCGTCTTCTTCCTGCCACCGCCTTCTTCCTGGAGGGCAAGCGGAGTCTTGCTAGGGGTGGATCCCCTCCTCCTCTCCGCTTCCGCCTCCGGCGCGATAATGATGCGATAATGATGGGTGGAATAGCCACTGCCAAACTGTTATAGCAATAGCGCACCTGATCGCCCGCGCGTCATCCTTGCGCAGGGGCCAGGTCCCACCTGCGGCGTTGTGTTTCCTCAACGCCTGCATCTGGGCGTGTCTATGGAGACGTGCAGGAATCGCGTTGAGCTTCTTCAATCGCAAATCTCCGCAAGCACAGCCAGATTCAGGCGCTGAACACGGCGGGAATGCGAATTCCATTGCGCCGGTGCCCTCTCTCTCCATGCCTCGCCGCACTCAGGGAGTGCATGTATACAATGAGGGCATCCAGATACATCCGAAGAAATCGATGGTGGTTGTTGTGTGCCTCCAATGTGAACACGTACTCGCCAGGAGTAGAGTTCTGCCGTCCACCTCAATGCTTATCGTGCAGTGCAGTCAGCGATGCGCGGGCAGTCTAAATGCGTCGTGGAATTTTGGGAGGTAGGTGAAAGGGTTTTAGGCTTCAATTTATTTCTGTTTTTTTTCATAAATAAATTTGGACCATTTCTCGATTTATGTGTGTCATCCTTGCGCAGGGGCCATGCTAATCTTGGGCCTCGCTGCAGTACTCTAGACTCTCGAATTTTCGAGAGTGGGTCAGTGGGTCATCGCTGTACTTACTCTTGTTCCGGAAAGATAGAGAGCTGCCAGAAGCCACACTATCACACAATTCTCGAAATGTCGAGAGTCCCCCGCCTGCAACAGCTGAGTTTGCAAGTGGCCTCGGGAGTTGCCCGCCGGCAGGCTCGTTTTTCGAGAGTGGACCTCCTGTCCCGGCGGCCAGATTTTGTCTCGTAGCGCAGTGGTGAAGCTCTTCTGTAGAGTAGGACGACGCCCAGGGTTTTGAGAGTTCACCTAGTGTAATCGGTTCTAGAGTCAGTGCAGCGAAGGCCGGTATTTCGAGAGTCTCACCTCTCTGACAATGCTAGTTGAACTCTCGAAATATTTCGAGAGTCTAGAGTAGTGCAGCGAGGCCCCTTCTCTGTATCGTTCCAATTTTACGGATGTCCCGAAGGACCTTAGGCTTCAGTTTGATCATTCAGGGTGTTTGGGAACGTGTTCGGATAATCTGGATGCGTCAGTTGTTTCCAAGATGTTCTGATTTTTTTTATTTCTTTTTTGTATAATCATTTTTAATATTGCAGAAATCATAGCATGAGGCCGAGGTCCTCATAGTCTACCAAGATAGGACATGGGTTCTAGGAGCATTACCCAGTTTTGCTTACAGGGCATCGCCCCGCAGGGGACCAATCCCCTGGAGAAGATAATTGAACTTCGCCTAGAGCTTGGTTACAGATCACTATTATTCCACTCTGGCCAGTGTCTTACTGAGGGTGGCTCTTCAAAGGACCCTCATGCGCATGTGTTGGACCATGACTTCAATATTGTCATGAAGAGTATCCCTCACATCTTTCATCACTCCGTGTGTAGCCAGTTTTCGTCGGCACCACACCAGGGTCTGGTAAGTAGTACGATGGGAAACATCCAGAAGGACTGTATATGTCTTATTTGTAGACAGGATTTGTGTATCTGAATAAATGTAGTAGGTGTAATGGCTAATTTAACATGCCATTAAAATGAATGTTACTTATAATATCAGAAAAAATATTGCTTAAAGTATGAATGTTGCCTGTAATAATGAGTGTTGCTTGCGATAATGTTAAATTGAGGTAATGGTACTTTGAAATAATGTTAAATTTAAATCATAGAAAATAACATGTTATTCATTAAAACAGGACATTATATTTTTAATTGGTATTCGCAAGCCATTAATTTCAAGTTAAAATCACCATAGTTTAAAGTTGAATGAAACTTGGGATACGAGTAGTGAACCCGAAGAATGTAATTGACAGGTCATAAATTGAAACGGAAGATTCAAGGCAATCACACACTGAACATGACGGTTAACCATATTTTATACTTGAATGAAACTTAAGATACGAGTAATGAATCCGAATAATGCAATTGAAAGGTCATAAGTTGAAATTTAAGTGAAGATTTTATACAATCAGACACTGAACATGATGGTTTAAGTGTGGATTCCATTGCACTTCGATAAAATTTGAAACAGTTACTTAAAAGACGTAATTTACATAGAGTTGTCGGAGAATAATAATAAAAAAAAAAACAGTCAATGCAATGAGACACTGAACAAGAATGCTAAACTCTAGATTTCATTGCACCTTGATCAATTTTGTATAAGCAATGAGTCCGGCGTATTTTACACAACATTGTGACTAGCATAAATTTGAACTCAAACGAAGAGTCAATGAAATTACACGGTAAACGAGATATTTTAAGTATGGATTTCGTCGCACTTTGATAAATTATGTAACTTAAAAGACGTAATGTCATAAATTGAAACTCAAGCGAATTGTCAAACGTCTAAATTTCATCGTACTTCGATCAATTTTGTATGTCATTAAGCATTCATTCGGACGTATTTTACATGACAGTGTGACTGGAAGAAATTGGAACTCCATGGAAGAGTTAAGGTAATCATATGGTAAACGGGATGATTTAAGTATGGATTCCGTCACACTTTGACAAATTATTATGTAACTTAAAGACGTAACAGACATGCATTCTCATAAATTGAAAATCAAGTGAGTATGCATTCTATCGCACTTCGATAAATATTATAATCATTAAAAACTATTAATGTTTCACAGGTAAACGGAATCACACAACGAGGTTCGGATTGTAAAAGTTATATTAAGGTATCGTATTAACTTTATTTAAAAGTTGAAAATTGTATGCATATCTGAGAAAAATCGTAAACTCAAGATCGAACTATGTCTAATACTATGAACCGTCATAATCTGAACATAAAAAACACTATCATTTACAAAAATATCTACGAGAGTCCCCGCGTCCCATGATAACCAAACCCGTATAAGACATTCATTGACGACCCGAAGACAAGGGTTTGTGACTTTTCCTTCGTCGCCATGTTCGAGAACACGGAAATGTATTTCATCCTTATAAACCTACCAACACCTGCCAAAGACTTACTGATTGCGTGACACACACAACATGTCACTTCCTCTACCTCATACCACTTATCAACCTCATTAATTTGACCGACAATCGTCAAATCAGACTGTCCGTTCTCGTAAAGAACGAGCAGATTGCCCATATTGAGACCATTAATTTTAAGCTCGTTGCAAGAAACAAGCATTACAGCGTCTACCAAAGTTCACTTTTGGTTCCTACATTCCACACACAACACTTTGCAAAACTCGAAACCGGCCAAAGACAACTGTATGCAACAATATGATACATCTTGCATCTGCATTCCGGCACCACGCATTGGATATAGTTCCAAAAACGGATTGTAGGACGCACAATCCAACAACTCTTGTTTCAAGTCCGCAGACCGCACGAGAAGTGACCTTGTGACGTTCTCTAAGCAAGGTAAAACCGCTTATTCTCTTCCAATTTAAGTGTGGCGCGCAGGGATGGAATTTGCCTGACGCCAATGACATAATTAGGTACTTTGATTCCACTCCCCCACTCTATCGTGAAAACAAACTTAAACTCTGTATGACATGGGCATTTCCTTGTCAGGAGCACTTTATCTCATCCTACCTCGGACCAAGCATCGGGAGGCTTGTCCAAGAAGGGGACGAACTCCGTTGTCATCAACCAAAGACTTACTGTATAGCCGTCCGCACCATGCAATCCGCATGCGCAAGGGCGAGTGAGATACAAATACTCACACAAATTAGCCATTACTCCCGTTGCACTCCCTACACAAGACGTGATATGCAAAACAACCACGAAAATGAATTGTTGAAAAAGTATAACAATCGCTTTCGCGATGAACTACACTTCGAAAATTGCTTAACCATCACCTTACCATCTTACACAAATCAACCATAAATCATTGACAAATTTCGTCAGGTTGTCGTACAACAGAATCATCGTAATTCACTAAGTTCAGAAAAAATATACTCCCTTCTAGGCTTCGTCTTTCTATAATGCACAAATTGTGCTATGATGTCCTACCACAATTAGCCCGGTTCGAACGTTCATTTTCAAAAATTCTACTCGCTCACCTATTAGGCTAACTGACAAGACCTATGATGTGCACTCGTCGTTTTTGTCCCCTGCATTGACACTCCTTTCATTACATGGACTCGGATCTCGAAGTGCAACTTCAACATTCAGTCGATCGTTGGAAGGAATGACAAGTGCAGTCGTGAACGGTTTTGTACCTCAGGCCTGTCTCTGCCAACCAAAAGCGATCAAGTCGGCATGCTGCCATTGTGTCTGGTCAGTCATCTTCCATCTTTTCTCTCATGCATTATCATATAGTTCTTCAAGAGACTTTTCTCTCTCAGTCGGCATCCTGTATTCCACTAACCTTTCATTATTATTCTGCGAAATGTTTTCACTAACCACTTCACGAAGTGCTTTGCCCAACCAGATAGGCACGCCTCTGGAAAGATCATCGTCGGAGGGGTGAAGGGTACGAAAAGTGTCGACGTCAACATGCACGAGGGGGTCGAAATTGGTCTTCGGGCGATCTTTTCGGCGTCCAACAAACAAGGGTTCCCCATCGTCAATATTGGCACTACTAGGAGAAGGTTGTCGACTGCTTTCGAGCAGCCATGGTCTTGACCCAAAACTTTCCAGAAGTTGTGCGGACAACCCGTTCATGATGATTTCGTGGCGATGCTTGATAACCTCATCATTGTAACACAAAATTTTTTCTCTGCTTCTCACCTCATGTTCGTTGCAAGTGCACCACGTTGATCGCCTGCTCCCAGCAACTCGCACACTCGAATAACACAAAATTTGCTATTATAATAGTCATTTCGAGGAACAGGCTGCATAGGAGTCGGGTTAAATGACCACGAAGGACCTACGTAACTTTCATCGGGGTTTCAATTGAACTTATCAATCAGACCTTCATCGGGCAACCAGTTGTCGTCATAACAAAACCCCTTGTACAGGATGCCAGGCCCAGGCGGGGAAGCGCCCGTGAGCGGCCTGCGCACGTCCGCCACAACGCCGCAAAGCCAAAAAAAAAAAAAAAAGTTAAATTTTTGAGGGGGTGATTTACGCTACGTTGGGAGCCCTAGGAAAAAATGTACCCCCCTCCAAATCATGAATTTCAAGTTCTTGGGGGGGTCTATGTGATGCGCACCCCCGTTTTGGAAAAAAGAAAAAAATTGGTGAGGGGGTGTGGGGAGTTTTCGGGGGGGCTTGGGGGTTGGGGTTGGGGTTGGGGTTGGGTGTTGAGAAATGCGATGTGCACCCCCTGTCGCCGGCCAACTAACCCCAGGCCCCCGCCCCCGCTACGCAGGACGCTCGCGCCACGTGTGCACGTCGGTCGCTGCCCCGCTAAGCCAAAAAAAAAAAAAGTTCAATGTGGGGGGGGAGGGGCAGAGAGCACAAACGGGTAACCATTGCCCGTACCTGACCGTACCCAATTATAACGGCCAGGTTACAGACGGGTATGGGTACCCCTTCCGAAAGGGGAGTTGGGTATGGGCAGGCACAAACAAAAGGTGGTGATCGTTAGGGCGGGCACAGTTGCCCTTTCTGGAGATCATTGGTGTGTAGCGGCAGGTAGGGGTAGGGGTAAAAAAAAAAACGGGTATGGGCGGCCAAAAAAAGAAAAAGTAGACGGTTACGGGCAGGTACGGGTAGCCAAAATAAAAAAGGATGGGTACGGGCAGGTAGAGGTTCCCATCAGGTAACCGTGGTATACCCACCCATTCCTACCCCCCCCCCCCCCCAACCTCGTCAAGCCCACTCTGTTGGGGGCGGTTGGGGGCAGTTGGGGACAGTTTGGGGTGGTAAAGGACAATTAGGGGGCGGTTAGGAACGATTAAAAAAAAAAAAAAAAACTGAATAAAGTTAGGGGCAGTTAGGGACAGTTAGGGGAGGTTAGGGACAGTTATAGACAATTAGGGGCGTTTAGGGACAATTAGGGACAGTTAGGGACAATTAGGGGTGGTTATGGGCGGTTAGGGGAGGGTGGGTGACGAGCACGGGTGGTTATGGGTGGGTGCATACAATAATGGTAAGGTACAGGTGGGTAAAGATAAAGAAACTTCAGTAGCTAAGGGTAAGGTGTGGGTGGTTAACTAACGGTTTGGGTCCAGGTGGCCATAGGTGGTTTTGAAAAAATTAGCTCATGCGTGCGTATGACCAGTTACATGCTGAGGAGGTTCAGGTAGGGTAGGTCTGGGTATACTTTTTTTTTTTTTTTTTTTTTTAGCAGGTGGAGATGGGTAAAGGTCCGGCAGGCCAGGTATACAGTGGGTATGGGTGCTTGGTTTTCAAAGAGGGTGTGCTTAGGTCAGGTATAGGTATTCCGAAAAATCCCAGTTGCGAACTCGGGGTTGGGGGTTGTCATTTGTAAGTAGGTGTCGGAAGGTGGAGTTGGCCAGGAGGAGGGGGGAGGGGGTTACATTTTTTAAGAGACATCACATTTGCCATTTGGACATCCACACGTGCAATATCACATAAGTAATAAATGTTATTACCAAACATGAAAAACAACGTCCACACGTTATTACCATACATGAAAAACAAAGTCCACACATATTTCCGACATCCACACATGCAATATGACATGAGTAACACAATCACATGCTGAAGTAAAACGGTGCCCTTTCCGAACAACGTATAAGAACTATAAACAAAACATACGTTTGCTTGAATGACAAATCAAAATGACGGCCCTATACAGAACAAATGTAGAGCCTACGTATGAGAAAACAGGATGACTAAATGCTTAATAAGCCTAATACCAAACAACATGCGTGCTATGATAAACAAAATAACCAAGCATCGTGTACAAAGATCGCCGTCTGTATGTCAACTACCTACCAATCAACTCCGAGTCTCTCTAATGTACAAAAGTTGCGCCGATCTTTCTACACACTACATAATAAAGACTACAATAAAACCTAAGGACAATCGAGTCAACACGAAACATGCACGGAACAGAGCAAGGTGCATGTCCCTATAAATGGTCGGCACCACGGCCACCACCCCGACCCGCCGATCGAGGACCATGCGTGGCCGATTGTGTCGAAAAAGCCGCTCTCCTCTCTCTCTCTCTCCGCCTCGCCACGTCAATAGGCTCTCCTTCGTGTTTGCATCGACGTCTCGTGCAGCGTCTTCAACCGTCGCCAATGTTGAAGCCTCCAACGGTGCAATCTCCGCCTGGTGGGCTGTTATATGAGCCTCTCTCTCCATTAATGAGTCCTGACGTCTCTGCCCCGCACGCATAGGCAAAGCCTCCTCGCCAGAGGTGTACGCCCCACTCTGCACTCCCGGCTCTCGAGCGGTTGGTATGCGCAAATCTCGCATCCTCCAAGGAAGTCTCACGCCCAAAATACGACACGCGGTGCCGATACCGGGCCGGCCCCCGCTGCCACTCTCAGCCCGTCCTGCCTGCTCTGCCTCTCTCTCAGCCAGAGCTCTCTCTTGTGCCTCTCTCTTTGCCCTCTGTCTCTCCTCTCTGCGTCTTACCTCAACCGCAACAACCTCTCTCCTAAGCTTCCCATCCACTCTTCGCACAAATGACCAAGGTCAGTGGTCAGACTGCATAACCTCCTACCGTGAATGGCATGAAGGTGCCAACGAGGTAGACATGTGTCCTCTCCCAACAACACTCCCCGGTGTCGGATGCTAGGCAACGCTCTGCGCGCAGGGCGTGGCCAGTGCTGGTGGATGCATATCATTGTGAGCAGCCCATCGCTCCTCCGAGTCCTCCCTAATCCTCGCTGACTCCGCCTCCTCACGCTTCAAGCTCCCGGGGGATCCATAATATATAGGGTTGGCAGAAGTGTAAGCTAGAGTCAATGCGTCACAGATACAAGTACATCCGTCACAGCTAGTAGGGGTGTCGGGCAACGGATCCACCACACCCGTCCTCTACTCCTCGTATGCCGCTACCACCTGCGTGTCGAAGACCGAGCCTATCTTGTCAAGATCCGCTCTCAGCTCGCCCTCCGGTCCGTGCCCTCCCGAGTCCTCCTCGTCGCCACGTATCATGTCTCCCACAAGAACCTCATCGGAGACGGGCTGAACGTGGATGGGCACCCTATGTGGCTCCTCGGTGTCTGAAGCACCCGCCTCCAAACCCGCAACTCCAACGTCAACACCACAATCCTCACCTCCGCACCTCCGAGTGTCACTGAATACCTGCTCCGTCTCCGCACCTCCGAGTGTCACAAGTCCCAGTACAAAGTCACGCACTACCTGTAATTTCGAGTCCATCGTGCCTGAACCTCCTGCCTCTGAGGTAAGAGGAGCATGAGACGCAGGCGACCCCCATGGTCCAGGAGGCGATGCAGACACAGGTGGAACATCAGCATATCCCGCAATGGTCGGGGATGGTGAGAGAGTGGCACGGTGTGTCGTAGCACGGTGGTCGGTGGTCGTGTGTGGCAGCGACGTCAGCGGATGTGGTGAAACATGTCCCCCACGCGAAGGCTGCAAGGCAGCATCCTGTCCGAGCACAGACTCCGCGCTGCCACATGCACCAATGGTCTCTAGTCGTCTCATGCGCTCCACCTCCACTAGATAAGCCACTTTCCTTGCCCACTGCACCTAAGATAAATGCCTCTCCTCCTCCGCGTCAATGCGCGCATCACGCTCTGCCCGAGTCTCCTCAATGTTGTTGTCTGCAGGATAGTCACGGTAGTTGGCCATGTCCCCCAATCGAACGTGCTGGCGCCTGCGAATGCCGCCACCAGACGTGCCCTCCCCACCCACCATAAAGTCCCTCGTTCGTAAGACTTAAGGAATATCTTGTGATGGCTCCTGCCGAATTGGAGTGCGCTGCTCAGGGTCCTCTCCCTCTGTCACATCGCCCACTATGTCGTCCAGGTGCTGCGAACGAGCGGTCTGTGTCTGTGCGACTGTACTGTCCGGCTAACCAATCTCGTCGACCGTCTAAGAGGCTCCCTCCCCGCCCCGGCCTCAAGCGCAGACGAACCACCTTTACGCAATAAAGACTCGTCGTCCTCGTCCATCTGCTCATCGTCAGTGTTGTCAACACGGAACACCCTCCTCACACTTGTAGCTTGGTCGGTGCGGCTCGTGCCCGCGCCACGTCCCGTGCCATGGTCTGTGCCTGCCCGAGTCTGGCTTGCCTCCCGTGGAGGGTCATCGTCTGCTTTGCTGAGCGTAGTTCGAGGCTGTGCCCAAGTGCCATCTCCACCCTGTGCGTAGTAGAGTCTCTCTAGACTTTTATCTGCACGACATGCGATCTCCTCGGGGTCGGTCTACTCCTCATCGCAGTCAACGGCCTTGTCGCACGCCGCCTGAGCCGCGTCATCCACAACCTCCTCCTCCGGCACTTCCCCTCGTAGGGGAGGAGCACCGCGGCTCTCGCACCAAAAACCTCTGATACAGGAGGAGGACGACCCCCCTGGTGTATGGTTGAGACCAGATACTTTTTTTTTTTTTTTTTTTTTTTTTTTGTATTTGGTCTCAACCATAGACCAGGGGGGTCCGGCGTTCCCAAAACGCCGGACCCCCATGAGCAAAAAATTCCGACCGGATTTTGGCAAAAAAAATCAGTTTTGATTTCGTTCAAAAAATATAATATGTCCGTTTTGACGAAATGGCTGTTCTTTGATGATAGCTAGCGGGACCATAATCTGGTATGGAATGGCTAGGACATTAGTGTTTCTATTGCTTTATCTCCGCCTCGAACAAGAATGGTTACCAAACTAATAACCCTCTTGTCACAGATGAAAGTGTTGATATTCTGATGATGTGTGCACGAACAAATAGGTTACCTCGATGAGTAGTGGCTTCATTGATGAAGGGTATGGCGATGGGGAATGGTCAGAGTTGGTGATAGGATATAAAGATAATATAAGGCTCTCGATGGTTATTAATTAAGTGCATCATCAGGTATTGTGAGAACTATTGTGTGGTAAGCTCATGATTCGGGCGAGATAGGGTGATTGGGTAGACATGAGCAGGATAGCGGCGACTAATGGTGATTGATGAATGGAGCAGTAACTTCGCTATAACCCAATTGTTATCATGATGAAACGACAAGGTTTGCGAGTGAAGACCTACCCGGTTAATGTTTTTTCGATCGCTGTTTCGTTACGATCCGGCTTAATAATGCTTCCAACTATCATAAATTTTTTTTTTTTTGGAAACGATATATCGAGTTGATAGGAGAGTACGTTTTCTAAGCTGGAATAGGCGATCCACTTTTGAAGTAGGCGGGGAGCAAATTAAACTCCACGTATTGCAAATGATGAGCGTTTCTGAAGTAGTTACTCCCAAAGGTTTAGTGCGGTAAAGGGTTGATTGTAAAGGATTGTGTGTGATGAAGTAGAGAAAGATGACTAAAATGCCTCGCTGCTGAAAATGGTTGGTAACTGAGTGGTGATTTTTTTTTTTTTTTACGTGTATAACTATCGAGCTCCTGAGTGATGTTAAGATCGAATAAAATCTCCCCTGTTTTTTTAGAATGTGGTGTGGATTTTAGCTACCATACGATTTTTGCGTTTGGTATGGATTGATGGTTTCTATGTGAAGCCCGTTTGGTATGGATTGATGGCTACCATACGGTTCTTCTGGAAATCTTTGGCTATATCTGGCAATGGGGGTTATGTATTACAAATCTGATTGCTTAATTACCCCTCCATTTCACGCTGATTCTTTGGTGTATGCCCGTCTATACAAAAATTTCTCTCTTTCTATACTTAATCAATCAAATATGTGAAATTCTGTCCCTGCGGCTTTTTTTGCCATCTATCAGGCCTTTTCATTCAAACTTGGGTATTCACTCGCACGAGTACGATGTATGCAAGGTTAGAAAAATATCGATTAAAAGAGCATACTTGATGAAGTCCCTTGGTGATTAGTTTCGTTTGACCAAGTAACCATATTGTATGGATCTGTACTGGTTACCAAGGCGTTTTGTTCTGTGTGGTTTGCTGCGCTGTTTCAGCGTGGTGGCTTCCTGTTCAATCAAAACACACACACAGACACCTATGAAACACCCGCGGACACGTCCGCGGGGCCGAGCTCGGAGGGCGGACGTATTCACGGCGGCCTCTGCGGCCTACCGGGTCCGCGCCGCGGATCCGATTTTACCAGATTTTTCCTGAATTAAATAATAGGCCAAAAACAAAAACAATATATGGGGTTGTAGAAAATTTTAAGCCCTACAACCCCATATTTGTTTTTTTGAAAGCCCACTTTGTTTAGGATTTTCAAAAAATCAAAAACTAAATTCGATTTAAAGAAAATAAAAAACAAAAAGATAAAGAAAAACTGGAATTTTTTTTTGTCATTTTGTATCATCAGATATATGGTCCCTCAGTTCACCTGTATTTTTTAGAAATGAATTTTTGTTTTTTGCAGGGGTATGAGGTGTTTTGGAAAAATAAAGATGCAAAATTTGAAAATAAATAAACAAAAAACTTGAAAAAAAAAGTTTGATTGATTGATTGATTGATTGATTCATTGATTGATTGATCGATTGATTGTGTGTGAGTGTGTGTGTGTGTGTGTGTGTGTGTGTGTGTGTGTGTGTGTGTGT